CTCCCTCTTCCTCTCTTTTTCCCTTTTTATGTTGTGAAATTATCGTAAAGCTACTTCCCAATTTTTTAGAAATTTTCGGCATACATAAAAAGAATGCATAAATTGTGGTATTATCCTACCAATATTATTACTTATAGAAAGATCTTATTATTTACAAAAAAAAATTTAAGAAAAAAATTTAAAAAAAAATTTTGAAAAAAAAAGTAAAAAGATTCATTTATCGAAGAAGACTGTTAGTTGTAAAAAAGATAAAAAGAAAAGTATGAGCAATTTATGAGATTGTATAATCATTCCTTTCAATTGTTGCTAACAGTAAATAATTTTGCATAAATTAAAATAGACTGAAAACAGAAATATATTTTAGATTTTTTCTTTTTCAAATTTAAAATTTCATATTTTGCAATGATTGCCACTTATAATAATAGTTCTATTTTGAAGTGACACCTTATTGAAATATTTTAGAATGGGATTTAATTGAAACTGAAATAGGTTATAAGGTAAATTCGAGGATAAAAAAAAAATACAACAGTAAAAAAAAAAAGTAAATTGAAAGGTTACAATGATCCGGTTATCCAGTTAAATAGTTAAAAGGATCAGGTTATAATAAATTTCCGTTAAAATGTCACAAACATTAGGATACATCGTTATTTGCAATGAAGAAACTTATTGAAACGTTGTTAAATTAAATTGAAGGGTTTTGCTTATAGGTTTTAGTCTTTCATCAATGTTTTTTCAATTATTGATCCAATGATATTAATGAATGATGCCCTTTGAACTCTAAATTTTGACCTTAACTCTTAGATTATTTGCTGGAAGCATAATATGGAAAATTACAAAAATTCCTTTTAAATAAAAAAAATATGACAACAAATAAAGTGTGGAACAAAATGGCAGAAATAATTGAATTTGTTTTTAAAAATTTGAAAAAATATTTTGTTATAATACAGAGTATGCCTGAAATTTACAAGTTATTATATCACACAGTAATTAGATTTAATTAGCATTTATCTGTATAAACAATTAATTTTTCTATATCAAAAATGCATGATATTATTCAAAAATTCATGAAGAAAAAAAAACATTATTTGATCCGGTTTTAGAAGTTTTCCTGAATTTCAAGAATTCTGCTCAAGAATACTAGTAATCGTATAGTTATTTCAGGTAACACTTATCAGAATAATACCTATGAAAAACATTGCTACTTTTAATCATCAAATTATTCCACTCCTTTTTTTTCCCCCCCTTTTAATTTCAACGATTTCATATTGTTTGATATTCATCAACCGGTTAGTGATGTATTTATTATACTAAAATATTATATCAACTTGCCTATCTAGAAATTTCCCAACATTTATATTTCAATATCGTAAACCAATTTGTCATATCGAAATGAAACATGGAATCTGTATTGTATCATGTAAAATGAGATTCTGAAAATATGAATCAGAAGTCCATTTATTTTGGCAGTATCAAATTTTCAGATGAATTTTTCATTTGGATATCTATGAATTAAACGAAGGAAATGATATGGAAAAAAGGTTGCAAATATAATCAAAGTTTATTTTAAATTTAAATACAAAACAAAACGAAAAAAACAAAAGACAATATGAACGATGTTGTTGTAATAATTCCATAATTCTAATTTGAATTTAAAGTTTGGGTATTAAAATACCAAAATTTCATTTTTGTGAATTACATATTTCAATGAAACATTTAATTTTAATCTGAAAATTAATCCAAATCAGTTGCAATTAGATAATTTGGTTGGCCAATAAGTTAAATATGCAAAAAATTTTGTAATCTAATATTGATATAGAATATAAATAAATGTAAATGATTCAGGCATGGATCTGTAATTGTTATTTTCTGCATTTTTCACATCCTACCAATTAATAATACCTCTCATTTTTTTTACTAATTAGTAATTCTTAAAGTAATATGAAAATGAAAACTTTAATGATTGATGAAAATCGTTCACATTTCAAATTCCTTCATAAATATTTTGAATAGTATGAAAACTTTTCTCAATTTTTCTTTTTTTTTTAATATTTTAATATTTTCTCCTTTCTTTCTTTTTCCTATTCTAAATTAAAATTTTGAGAACTTAAATTATACTCAACAAAAAAGCGGAAATGGAAAATTTTATATTTTAATTAACATTAATTAGCAATATTATGTGGTAGTTTTGAAAAAAAAAAATGAGGAACAAAAAAAAACATTTCACACGATAAAAGAAAATATAAATTAATTCATAAATTCATATTATTCTACAAAATAATTCTTCAAGAAATGCAAATTATAGATGGAAAAAAAGAAAAAAGAAGAGTCTTTTCTGAATCTTCCTAAATGATATATCGGTAACAAAAATGAAATTCATTATTTTTGAAATTTTCATGCGCCAAATGGATGACATCTGAGACATGGATGACATTTGACCATTACTAATTTAAAGGATGGATCTTTTAAGCAAACTTCAAACAAAGCCATCATTTCATTCGTTGATAAGAGTTATTTGAAAATGAATGAAGAAAGAAATGTTCCTTTTTCTTTTTTTTTATAAATAAATATAAAGATTACCAATAAGAATAAATGAAAATAAAAAAAGAATATTAATAGGATAAGGTGAAAGTGATAACAAATTGATGGGAATGTTGATAAAATGACGACAAAAAATGATTGAAGCCCCTTTTTTTTTTTTTTTTTGGTGGATTATTTGAATCATATAAATTTCACATCATTTTATTCGAAAATGAAAAAGTTATTAGATAATTTTAAATTCTGAAATTTACAAAAGTATCTAATAATAGCTATTTGTTATTAATTTCTAAATTTGCAATGAAATATTCTAATTTAGTTTTTATTGTAATTTATGTGAAACGCAAAAATTTCTTTCTTTTTGTTTCCTTTTTTTTTTTTTTCTTCTTTATTGATCAAAATAAAACAAAATGAAAAACTAAAAGTAAAACAGTAAAAAGAAATTATTTTACTATCGAGAAGGACCAAAAATAAAAGGAAATGTTGATTTCGTCCTTACTCAGAACGAAATTGTCAACATCCATCAATTTACAGGTTTTCCAGTTTTTGGTGACAAGGAATTTTCTGATTGACAATTTTTTTTCTTTTTTTTTCCACTCCTCACATCACATTTATCATTTGTTATTCCTGCCACTGTTATTTTTGTTGTTACTCTTTTTGTTATTGTAACTCTTGTTATTATTATTGTTGTTGTTACTTCTGGTATTATTATTGTACTATTGCTATTACTTTTGTTGTCTTTTATTGTTATTGCTATTGTTATTACTGTTGCTGTTATTGTTGTTGTTATTATTGTACTATTGTTATTACTTTTGTTGTCTTTTATTGTTATTGCTAATGTTATTACTGTTGCTGTTATTGTTGTTGTTATTATTGTTATCCTTAATTTTGTTAATGTTGTCCTGCTTATTTCATATTCATACTTCAAACAAAATCATGAAACAGTTAATGAATATCAACGAAATTATGATGATCAGAACAAACATTTCTATAAAATTTTTTGTAATACACAGTATCAATAGGTCTGTCCGTCTGTACTGATAAGTGGACGTGTGTCTGTCTGTGATATATTTGAAACAGATTCTAAATTTG